TTTAGTCGAGAAGGAGTTCCCATGGTGTTGGTGACTGATAATGGCTCTCATTTTGCTGCAGATGCAGTCACTAATTGGTTAAATGGTATAGGGTGCAGACATCTGTTTACGGCTCCCAGGCACCCTTGTTCCAATGGTCAGGCAGAAAATTTCGTAAGAACATTGAAAATTGCTATTGATTCTATTGCTGCTTCGACATTCAATGAACTGGAGAGGGGAGTAGATACATTTCTACTTCAATATAGAAATGCTAAGCATTCTGTGACGAAAGAGACTCCATCAAAGCTATTAAAAGGAAGAATTCTCCGTTCGAATATGAGGTGTTTGGAGTCTGCAGAAGTTACGTATTATCGTGGTAATGATCTTCGACCAGCCACGGGGATCGTGGTGAAGAATGTTGGAAAATCTATGGTGCGAATTCTGGATATCAATGATTTGACCATACATAACCGACACGTTGATCAAATACAATACCAGAATCCAGATAATACAGAGTCTACATCCAATACACCGTCGGACAGATGTAAGATGAACTTAAGAAGAGGACGAACAATCGATTACAGACACTTACACTCCAATTCGAGCTGTGGCGGATGTGATGTTTAAATAAATCAATGACTTCTTCGTATTGATGACTGTTGTAATTTTGAATTCCAAATACAATATATTCGTTCGAGTTCATCTGATACTTCTTGATTAAATTGCGTTATTCCTGGGATTACTAGTTCATACTACAATTCAAATACTTCTAATTATCATACTACTGCTGACATCAAGCATAAAAATAGGATTCTTGAGGAATTATCCCGCTTTGTTCACCTTGGATACACTCATCCCAACTTTAGGAAAGTTCAATCTTCCTAAAGTCAACTCTGCTGAACACGAAGCGGAGGTGATAACGCCATTACAGATAGGTTCTCCAACTTCAATAAAGAATTTGGATTATTCTTATGTGTGAAGATAACAACTCAATGGAGAAACTGTCAGACACCGTCACAATCAGAGAGCATCATCAAAAACAAAGAGTCACCAATTGACAACCTATATATCCCGGATCCTCTATGAATGGTGATTCTGCGGGAACAGAACAGTCCTAAAAGTAAACCTAAACGGTGGGTCGGTGTGTCAGAAATCACAATATTTAAACAAGTAAACTTCTGGCGCTGACAAAGTTTACTCTGCAATACTGAGGGAGGTGGATTCAATCTTGAAAATACCATTTGATATGATGTTCTCACTTTCACCAAGTCAAGACACGGTTGCAAACAGTTGGGAGCAGATACAAATTACACTTATTTTTGACGTAAATCAGCCTTGATTCTATCGGTCAGTATCATTTTCTTCAATACCCTGAGAAGTTATGGAGTATTTGATATACGATGGTTTATGCGGCCAATCGTTGTTTATAAACTTTTTTCACCACAAAAGCACGATCTCAAGAAAATTTAGTCTTGGATAAACAACCTGATGAATGCAGTGGATAGGTGGCCAACCATCTTTGATCGCGAGGAAAGGTTGATATGACATACACTGATTTCTCAAAAGCTTTTGATAGGATCAGTCACTATCCTCAAACTATCATGTATCAAGCCATCGTTAACAGAGTGGTTTATTTGGTATCTGAATGATATGCATTTTAAGGTCAATGCAAAATTTACGTATATCAGGCAAGTGGATGACTTGAAGGCGTCCTTCAAGTTCAGAACTATGACCCACCCTCATTTTATTTACATTGTAGCTGTAAATAAATCCACAAATTAATAGCTCTGTAAGTGTTTGACATTGGATGCTGACCATATTAGTTTTAGTGGACTCGTTTAGCTGCATCCGTACCAGATCACGTTACAGAGCGGTGTGGGGAACATCTCCTACGATCATTAGCCAGATTAGATCAGTCACTTATCGATAAATTGATAACCCATCAAATATATCTTCCGACTTCTTCGCTTCTGACTTTCGATTTTACTGGGTGGGCGCGATTCAATGAGAGGTGTTACTGGTAAAGAGTTGCCAAACTACAGTACTGATGGTATCTTCAACATGAATGAATTTCTTCAGTAAGTATCGGCTGAGTTACTGCTCTCTGCTGACGATGTTGGACTTGGGACAGAAGTTCACACCTAAGATGGCTGGTCATCTGTGGGTGGCTCGACTTAATTTCGAAGTTGGAATGATAAAAATGGATATACCTCCAACACAGAGAAGGAAACATAAGACAGCTGTATGATACAACAAAGAAACTTGTTGGAAATTACCTTGAGCCGGAAAGACCAGTGGAAAACATGGAAGGCAAAGTAATCACCAACATTGAAGAACAACGAAACCGGTGGGTAGAACACTTCAAAGAACCCTTGAATCGACCAGCCCCATTAAACCCACCCAACATCGAAGCAGCACCCACAGACCTCCTAATCGATGTTGGCCCTTCAACAATTGAAGAGATCAGCATGGTCATCAGACAAATCAAGAGCGGCTAAGTAGCAGGACCTGACAACATTCCGACAGAGGCACTGAAAGCAGTTGTAGCAGCAACTGCAAAGATACTCCACATCCTCTTCAGTAAGATTCGGGATGAAGAACAAGTACCAACAGACTGGAAAGAAGGACTTCTGATCACAATGCCAAAGAAAGGTGATCTCTGCAATTGCGATAACAACAGATGCATCACTCTTCTCTCAATACCAGGAAAAGTCTTTAACAGGGTATTGTTAAACAGGATGAAGGATTCCGTAGACTCCCAGCTTCGAGATCAACAGGCTGGATTTCGTAAAGATCGATCGTGTACAAACCAAATCGCAACTCGACGCATCATTGTGGAATAATCAATCGAATGGAATTCATCACTCTACATCAACTTCATTGACTACGAAAAAGCACTTGATAGTTTGGACAGGACAACATTATGTAGTCTTCTTCGACACTACGGCATGCCTGAGATGATAGTCAACATCATTCGGAACTCCTATGATGGACTATACTGCCAAATCGTTCATGGAGGACAACTCACTGACTCATTCGAGGTAAAGACCGGTGTTAGGCCAGGTTGCTTACCTCACCCTTTCTCCTCCTGGTGATCGACTGGATCATGAAGATGTCAACATCTGAAGGGAAGCACGGGATACAATGGACAGGTAGGATGCAGCTGGACGATTTAGACTTCGCAGATGATCTGGCTCTCTAATCGTACATGCAACAACAAATGCAGGAGAAAACGACCAGTGTAGCAGCAGCCTCAGCAGCAGTAGGTCTCAATATAAACAAATGGAAAAGCAAGACTCTCCGATACAATACAACATCCACCAATCAAATTGCACTTGACGGAGAAGCTTTAGAGAATATGGAAACCTTTACATATCTGGGGAGTATCATCGATGAAAACGGTGGATCAGATGCAGATCTGAGGGTGCGGATAGGCAAAGAAAGAGCAGCATATTTACAACTGAAGAACATCTGGAGCTCAAAGCAGTTGTCAAACAACACCAAAATCAGAATTTTCAATACAAATGTGAAAACAGTTCTACTGTATGTAGCGGAGACATGGAGAACTACGAAAGCCATTATCCAGAAGATACAAGTGTTTATCAACAGTTGTCTACGCAAAATACTTCGGACCCGTTGGCCAGACACTATCAGCAACAAGTTACTGTGGGAGAGAACAAACCAGATTCCAGCGGAGGTAGAAATCAGGGAAAGGCGCTGGAAGTGGATAGGGAACACTTTGAGGAAATCACTCAATTGCGTCACAAGACAAGACCGCACATGGAATCCTGAAGGTCAAAGGAGAAGAGGAAGACCAAAAAACCCATTACGCCGAGAAATAGAGACAGACATGAGAAGAATGAACAAAAAATGGATAGAACTAGAAAAGAAGGCCCATGACTGAGTGAGTGGGTTGGAGAATGCTGGTCGACGGCCTATGCTCCATTGGGAGTAACAGGCGTAAGTAAAGTAAGTTTCTTCAACACCTCAATGTCCCAAGTAGTCCGTCTGAGATATACTGCAGACCATGAATACAACTTAGTAAACTCATCTCCAGGGTCTTTTTAATTTGGAAAGAATCCAAAAGTTTCGATACCCTGCCGTATAATCTCTTGCGTTTACGGTGACAAAAACGCCTTTCGAACAAACCTTGCACCCTCAACGTTGAAGTGTATTTTCGGCAAGTTTGATAGTAAAACTTCGGACCTTATCTTTAACATTTTCAATCGTCCTCACTTAGAATAAGGAAAGATAGGAATGATAAGCATGCTTTAGAACGTATTCAAAAACAAGTTACAGAAGCTCAGTCCCAACACAAATCTTGGGGTTGTAGTGGATGTCGAGTCGAAGACGGACTATGATCACCACTACAATTCGTTTACGCGCCCAAAAACGACTTGGTTCCTTTGATAGCTCGTAAATCAGAAGACTTTATTAATCCAGATCAATTGTATTTATTGGCGATCTCGTGGTATCGAAATAATACCGAGACGTGCCAAAGAGTATAGGCGAACAGGCAGTGCGTGAGCAAGTTCGAACCAAACAAGGCGGGGAGCAAAAGCAGAAGTAAATCTGATACAGTTAAACAAATACAGTAAAACAATCTCTGGTACAATTGGTTACAATAATAATAGTTGTTTCCGTTGTTCCAATCGTGTTCTTATCGAGACTGGCCGGTCACTACATGGTCAAGTAATTGGTCACAATTTGAAGAAACAGACAACAGAAGCGCCTTCCAGTCCTTAATAATGGTCAAATTCTGAAGTCTTCTGCAGTTTTAGGTGGTTCAAGTAACCTTTCAAGATTCTCTCATGAGGAAACTCGACATATTCCTGACGATTCAGGACAGTAAGTCATTATAAGTTACTAATATATATTTGTTTTCGTCGTTAAATATTATCTGGGCTCCCACTTGGAAGCATAAGTGATCCATCGCAACTAAATAGGAAAGATCATTGGGCGAAAGCTTTTTATTTTTCTTTCACAACAATCTAAGCCATTTCATGGTTATTGAATATATAGAAAGACCTATTTTCAAGTAGCACGTTACGTGTGGTCAAACTGAGTTGCTTTTGTTGGGAATCGCTTATTTTGTTCAAAAGAGACATCCTCTGTGATTGGTAAGTATATATCATACTTGAATATTTTTTATCCATGTTGGTAATGTCATGTCTGAGTCTTTGAAAAAAACTTATCGTCAGTCATCATGCAAGCAATCGTCGACATGCCGAGGATACTCAACATGCATTTCATGGAATAGTTTGTTTCATAATCAAAAGCCTTGGAGAGACATCTGAACCAAACTTATAGATTGGTTTTCAATTTTGATTTCATTTGGCTTGTAAGGTGATCAGATGATATTGTGTTACAACTCAACTGTTAGAATGTGGTTGGCCTGTACTTTATTGGTGAACAGCTTTTTTATTCTAACTCGTCTAACCAATTGTAGTAGTGAATGCATGGCTTTTCTATTTTGATCAAGCCTGAGACCTTTGCGCTACAGATGATATTAGATCGTAATGAAAATGCTAACTTTAGCAGCCAATTCTTATTCCTGACATCAGGTTTCAACCCTATTTTTAATGCACACTTCGTGAACCGGAGTCTGTTCACATTCGTTATTAAATCAGGATTATAATACAACTCTACTGGCCTAGTTTTGTGTAAAATTAGTTTCTGCCTTCAACGTAACAATGAAAAATAAGTCGTGGATTCAAAACACAGCTCACACTCTTGTAACCGCACTAGTTTTAACTAAGATTTGATATTCATTATAGCAATTTGGAGAAACAGGAATTATGCTTTTCCTTTAGTTATATGGGGGAGTATTTTAATGTAATCAAAAACATTGCTTTTGATATTCAGTCACCTTAAATATGCACCACTTTGCACTTATATTCTAACAATTATCCATTTTCTTAACTGTGGTCATCCCTCCTTACCACCGTAGTAAATTATATCGATACATATTTAAACCTGGTCTTCCTGTATCCTTTCTCATGTGTCCTCAATGTATTAATCCTTGTGTTGCTTCACCCTCATAACTCTTGTTAATCTGTTGACAAGATAGTTTTAAGTGACATTTGTATGGCTAAAACAGTAAGACGCAAAGTCGGTCTTGAGTTAGTGTGGGCATTAAGATTATTATTTACAATTAAAAGTTAGGGCCAGGAATTGGAATTGGACTTTTCATCATGGACTGACATCAGCTGTAATACCAAAATGCCAGTTCGCCTTATGAATGAGTGGATTCTGCGTCGAAGTCCATGACTTGGTGTCTTAAGTCTGATTGTACATCCCCCTCGTTTCGGCTTTTGCCAACTTACGTCACATATAGCGAAAGCGAGGTATCCGTCTATCAATTAAAGAACGAATATACTGAGTAGCACTTTCTTCTGTTTTACTTTACAGTTGCGAAACGTGGCCGTTAGGAGTAGATAGTACTCGTAAGTTACTAATATTTGGTCACAGATGTCTTTGAAATATTGCTCACATCTTCTGGGATCAGTGGGTGAGTAATAGTGAGGTTAGACGCATGGTATTGGGGAATGATGGTAAATCAGTTGATGAGGTTGTAAATCTTCATCGACTGAGATAATAGTTGGGCCACGTGTTACGCATGTCCAACCACGGTGCCCAGTGCTGACTAGTGTTGTAGACATGGGAGTTAGGGGTGGTCAAACGAAAAGGTGGTATCAGTCCATAATGTCACTAATTTCTAGTTTGAGCTATGTTGGTAGATGCAGGCTACTTGATTTGGGTCCGCGTGACTATCGTAACCAGTGGTTAGAGACTGATTGAAGGCTCAGAACCCATCACAATGGCGTAGGTATATACGCTCTTTGTCTTCCTTTAAACCGCGAGATTAAAATTGCTTCTTATCTTTGCTTCTTCCTGTACTATGTCCTTATATACAATCTTTATTTTACATATTACCACCACTAAATTAACTACTACTATCAATTCGGTGTTCATCTTGTTGTGCTAATGAGGTATGGCAACTTGGACCGATGCATATGTGCCTAGTCCTACTTTGTAGCTGACTGACTAAATTTGTACATAAATTATAGTCCGGTCACTAAAACTACTGAGGCTTAACAATGATTTCATCCATGATAAAGATTTCAACTGTTGTTCCATCCGTACGTTCTTCTAGAGTGCTGCTGTTCAGGTCTTTAATCTCACATCTGACAGTCGTTAACAAGGTTTTCAGTCCTATTAGAAGTCTGTGAACAGTTATCAATTTCTGGTCACTCGTATTGAGAAATGATTTTGCTTCTTGGATGACCTGAAAGTAAAACTAGACCACAAATATTAATCTGGGAGCTTGACAACAAACTCGAAGAGACACTTTCTGAAAATGCCACATATAGACATTTTGCAAAAAGTTCTTAAAGTCGTGGGTCTGTGCTTTGAGAGACTTACAGCCAGTAGAGTTTAGTTACTTATTTATTTATTCATTCAAAAACACATATTGGTACATAGGTGTACCGAATACATATGCGCCACACTAGTCACTTGGTTTGTGTGTAAGCTGTACTACTGTCCAGGTGCCTCCACAGAAGTAGATGATTTTCTTAGAGGGCCACGCTCGGAGCCTTCGACCTAAAGGTGTGATCCACAGGGCAGTGGAGCAAGGTAAGGAGATTCAGTCCTATGGTATCTGGTAATCGTTTGCTTCATACGCCATTTGTTCCTCCAGGATCCTGGAGCCTATGTTCACCATTGGTTTGGAATCAGGATTTTCCAACCCCCTAGGTGAATCCTTTATATTCACCAACCCAGTTAAAGCACCGGACATTCGTTTTTCGTCCTCTCAATTTCATAAACAACAGTAATGCTGCGAGAAGGCAGTGAGTAGGACTTCCCTGGTTGTGACTGTATACGCGTTGCCATGTGAGAGCATTTCGAGAGGGAGAGCTGATTCTCTCCACTCTCGGTCGTACCAGGGCATTTGGGGAAACCAGTAAAGGGAACTCGTCTGGCAGTGTGCCGTATGCTGTTTCTAAAGTCAACCCTTTCTACTCCCTCTATTTGTGAGAAAGCAGCATCTGTAGAGATGCTGGTTGTAGGAGATATCTTACTGCATTCACATCTCAGTACAGTTTAGAGTACGACTTCACCCCCTGATGAGTTGTTTCTTTCATTATCGTCCAACAACTGACTTCGTTGGGGTGATACGGCCTAAGAAAACAAGTGTCTTCGCCAATATACCTCGATTGGGTCGCTACGGTATCTAAGCTCGATTCCCATATCAAGTTAGCTTTGACTGAGGCCATCCAATGTGAAATACAGATACGCACTCAGAATATATACAAATTATATGCGTTTTCTATACTTATCTATATTATAAGAAGTAATCAAAATAAATGAAAATATGTGAGAGTAAACAAACAATGTATATGGTGGGTAGGAATAAGTGATGGGTAATGGAACTCAGAGTATTCCATTTTCGATTAACAATTTCTACGGTTTCACAAACTCATGGACCATCAATGGGTTATTAACACAAATGTTATCTCATGGTTGGCAGTGGAAAATCTCTTATGTTACTTGTTTATGTTAACGACAGACTCCCCTTCTATGTACTATTTTTGGCCCATTCTATGATTTTACTACTTAAGCGTAACTAGTTTATTTTAATATGAAGCTTTAGATAAATATAGTCAAATTTCCAATTTGTGTTTTATTATGTCGTCTTGTTTGACAATGATAACTTGTCAAACTACTTATAATTTGTTAGTAACTGAACGATCCTAACCGAAATAGTGTTCAAGACTATCTATATGTAGTTTTAGAATGGAGCTGTTTAAAAGTAACTTGCCTAATAAGTAACGTTTCTAATAAATATGGTGGTTTTAAAATAATCAGGAATAATTATAGTTGAGTTAATACAGATAAATTTATCATGAGAAAATGAGGTTGTGATGACTCCTATAGAAATTGAGCTTATTTTTACCAATATAATAAACCCTTTCATATGAATGCCACTCAGCATAATAGTATTTTAATACTTGTTATTACTTTTAAATTTCATCTGAAAATAGTGAAAACTTAAATAGTTGTATATAATATCATTATATCGAGTGATATTTGGTTCATTTGTTAGTGTTGAAACATCATTGGTGATTGTGACTTGAGGAATTCCTGTTTTTGTTGTGTTGACGCCTTCATGATCTCATAATCAAAATGTCAACCTAAGATGAACTTTGTAGCTGCAACTGGATAATAGGCAACAAAATCATAACCATATCGGTCTCATTTTGTCTACTTCATGCTACCACCAAACCAGTATATAAAAAACAGCTGCATCAGATCAAAAGTGGTCATATCCCGATACCATTCGGGGAATTTTCTGGTGGTTTACGCCCAGTACTTATTATCTTACGGTCACTAACTTTGTTCAAACGTTGACCTTAATGGACACCAATCAACCACTTTGAAATAGTGATGGTAGTTATTCATCATGAACGTTGTTGTGCTGGAGATATGTATTCACGCTTTCATGATGGTATGAATATAATGACAATTGTCTGCTTATTAATGTTCTTATTACAGTATTCATGCTCTCCATATGCGACAGCTGCTTTTGTTATCTATATCAGGCAGCAGTAGATTTTCTTCTTTCATCAGTATATTCACTGCATCTGTGGCCGAAAAAAATCTGGTTAAGTATTTTAGAAATTAAATGCTTGCAATTATTCATATAACTTCTACCCACAGCATGTGCAAATTCGAAATTGCATCTTATGTTTTAATGAGAAGCTAACATTAAATGAATTTCATAGACACAACATAATTCTAGACTGTAAGTAACCTCTTTACCTTTGTCATGAGATTCCACCAAGTTAGCTTATCTACTAATAGAGGTGGGAATTTTCTACTACATAATCTTTTCAGCCTTAGTGGATAGGTGTCACTAATTGACTGTATCAGTTATCTAAGTATATCTTCAAATTGACTTAGGACCAAGTTAGCGTACGAACTGAAAAACTTGGTGGTTGAAACTTGCCAACGAGTTGGAAGCTGTGTCCCCATCTAGCAACTAGTGAAAATTCTTTCAATTTATTTGATCCACTGTAAGCAAAACGTCTGGTGTCGGTAAATTAATCTGTGGTGTTGATAGCATACCAGTTGGTAACATATTAAGGTGTCTCGTATGATGTGCAGTTTTTCGAAAAATATTTCGACTGGTCGATTGCTCCAGCAACTTCTGCCAGACTGTCCTGTCTTCCATAGTCGGTGACGATTGATCTGCTAAACGTGGAGGTAGTTCACATAGCAATCCAGAGCCTGAGGCTCCACAAATCACCAGACGACTTACCCTTGTGTCCTTAAGGAAGGTGGCGAACTTTCTGTCATGGAACTGATTGGGTTGCTTGGAAAGGTTTGTGTTATAATTGTATTTTAGCTATTCCTATTGCTTAGTATTCTTATCCAATGACACTCAACAAGACCCCAAAATCAGAACACTTTGAACAGGAATGAAATTGTATTCAAAGTAACAATCGTAAGTGAACAGCAATCACGAGCTTGAATAACGTTCATATATTTATAGTATATACATAAGAAGTTTCTAGATTTTTCTCCAATAATTTGCCTGGGCTGATCGGTTTAGAATTAGCCAATCAACGCGCAGCAACACCATCATGCATGAAACATGCTTTACTCCAATCTATGTCCCGTTAACGGTTTGGAAAAGACTATTCCAACATCGTGGAGTAAAACAACCGTCGTCCCGAATTTTAAGAGAAGTCATTATCTATGCATGCACTCTAGGGGGATAAGTTTACTTCTGACCGCTTCCAAACTTTTGACTTCCATCATATTTCAGGTTTTGTAAAACCCGTGGAAGACTTAATTATATGGAGAAGGCTGGTTTTTGATTAAGTTGTGGATGTATGTATTATATCTGCACATTCCGCTATATGTTAGACTACTGCTACACTTATTCCAGGTCAATATTCATTGTGTCTGTCAATATTAGTTGACGTTGCCATCTTTAAACACTGGCTTCAGTTTCATGAACATATCTTACGAGCATTATTCTTGTGACTCCTAAATTATGGATTAATTGCAGGTTTTAGTACTGGGTGGCGAAGGCGGAGTAGTCAGTCTATAACATGAAGCCGTGATGTGAGATAAAGCTGTAAAGGACATATGTTGGTCTATCATAAATCCTTGGCTATGGTTCTGAAGATGGTGCAACTCAGGGGCTTGAAACGTTAACAGAAATGGATCAGAACTGAAGACAACGATATTCTTGCTCTGATTTTCTTCGACATTCTCTTTCAAATGTGGAAAAACTCTTTAAACTGAGAAAAAATTTTCTTGATTGTATTTTTAACTGAACTTTATCCTTTGCTATATATTAGTCTTATCCACTTATTCTGCTTTCAACTACACCTCCTCCCTCTTTTTCTCCCCATGATGTTATCTATTTATTTTGTCAGGCCGCATACTATTTTTGGTGCCTGGTTATACCGAATTTTGTGTGTATTCAGTAAAAAATAAGAAAATTCGATCTCACGTTTGGTAGCCTAATTTAGCTACTTTACTGGGATCTTCCTCCTCCCATATGTAAATAAATATCCAATTGTTTTCTTCAGTATTTGCTACCATTTATACACTTTAATAATCTGCCTTAGATTGAAGGTCACAAAAATGTTTTTTTCTAATAATAGTGTTTAATTTATTCAATAGATAGAAATTTGTCTCCAATCCAATGAATTTAGCATCCATTGACAACATCTTACGTGGGGCTCGACTTCAGATATCATCAAATGACTCGAGTTATCAAAATTTTTTGGATCGATTGGTTTTACCTGGGATGGTTTTTGAATTATCTGGACCTCATGATGGGCCTGTATCATGGTCTATTGGTCCAGGTCTTGTTTGTGTGCCGATGTCTAGAATGAAAACTGGAGTGGGAAAAAACAAATTGGTGGATTCGATTTTAGTAAGACAGGTCAGTCTTATAGTTTTTAGCTCCAAGTACCGTTGTACGACTAGATTTCACCGTTCAACTTGTTGCTATGACCCCTATTTGCTTACATAAACATATGAAATGGTTCAGTATGTTAGTCTTATCATTCATTGATGATTTCCTCATAGTTTTGTTTTCTGGTCTTTCTGATGTATGACAAGCAAAACTCATTTGTTGCAGTGTAAATCTTTACACAGATACCACTCAGTAATACTCAATTTCCATATTCAGTTATATTTGATCATCAAAACTGTTTTACAGCAATATATTTTTGAAGTATACAGGTTAAGTTCTATCCATTATTATGTAAGTTTTCTAACGATTCATTTTCGAATATACTGATGTGTTTTCTTATTTTTTATTCTCTTAACAGTTCGGAATCTTAAAATTCAAATGTAAGAAGTTGGAAGGAATAGACTCAACGGATACAATCAAACGTTTTAAACTCGGAAATTCATCGAGTGATTCAAAATCAGAAAATTTCATTTGGGTAGAATGCCTGGTGTCTACTGGCTCAGTAACTACATTACTTCCACTTACTCGTCTCTCATACCGTTGTCATGTCGGACAGTTCCAACCAGAGGACAAAGTTATTGGCGTTGTAATGAAAAAAGCTGGTGAATCGTTCGTAGTTGATATAGGTTGTGCTTCTCCGGCTATTCTCAATTACTTGTCATTCGAAGGTTCTTCTAAAAAGAATCGTCCTGACATTCATGCAGGTGATGTTCTTTATGCCATGATTACACGAGCCGACAGAGGTGAGTTTATTCTGTAATCGCTTGTATTCTTACTGTATGTCAACTACATTATTCCCATTTTTGAGCAATAATACTTAAGCAAGCACTATTCTTAATGTAAACATCTTTCATGGAAACAAACCTAGTTTATAACGACCGGTAGACTGTAAGCAGAAGCAATATTCTCTATTCTTAGTTGATTACATCACTAACGATCAGTATGAAAAGTAAGGCAGGTCGTCAGAATAAGCGTTAGTCTAACGATATCGCTCCTTGAACGGTAATGGTTGAATGATACACGACACATCACGCTTAAAAACATTTCATTTATTGCAAAATATAAACAAGGTTTAGGGATTTGATTACCGTATGCTCATATTAGCAGGTAAGAGTAAAATTCAATAGTCCATTGTATGTAAACCTTGCGTTCCAGTTAACTTATTTGCTTTGTCCGCAAATTGACTCGGGATTCAGCGTAATTATTGAATTAAAGACTGAACTTTAATGTATGATTGGGAATCTAATGAACTAGGCTATTTTTAATTCAAAATATAATTATGGTTCATATTTATATCAAGGACGTTTTGTTTGAAAATCCAAACAAGTTATCAAATCCAAATCCGGTTTTATCCCTTTACTACACCTATTTATGAGAAATATTGATATGATTTGAATTATTATTTAGAAATTGGACAGTATCCTTTCTTTCTAAAATATTGTAGTAGATATTGTTGTAACTTCTCATTTTACAGAAATATTATCAGTTCTGATAAATTTATAATCCATTGGAACTCTTATCTCATGTAGATTAACGTGGTCAGTTGTTTTGAATATACGATGAAGTGTTTTTTATATTAACAATATTGTACGTCTTAACGACTGTTAGTATTTATAACGAGATTTCGTCTTCTTAGATTTAGAAATTGAATTGTCATGTGTTGATGAGGCAGGAAAAGCTTGTGGAATGGGTATTCTTGGTCGTCATGAACCTGGAACTGTTGGTAATGCTGGAGGTCGGTCTGGTGGTATATTGTTACACTGTACGCAAGATTTGGTCAGGCGGTTATGCAATCAAGATGAATTCCCTCTACTAAAACTTTTATCTAAGGTAAAAGCTCAATGTGTATAATAATTTTATTTGTAGTTCTTACGAATATCTTAGAAACAGGTGAATTCTTTATATCAACACTTGTAATTCCAATAAACGGAAACTCACTTTTTAGCTAGCAAGTCAGAATTACGAAATCCAAAAGTGTCGATTAGAAGTAGGAACCTTTTTGAGAACAGTATAAAATGTAATGAAATTCAATAAGTGCTCTGTACGTTACAATAAATAACTGTTATAGATTTTTTACAAACAGCGCAATATAACATCAAATTGTTTACTTGTTTGCACTCACTGTGAGTGAGCTATTTTAGATGTTGGGGTCGAGATTGAAAAACTTATTCGTGTGTGAATGAGTGAATAATAATTGACAGACATCAAAAATAAAACAAAAAGATGATAATTATCCAACTGGTGATATCAAGGGAAAGGAGTAAAAATTGTCTGACGTTAAAGGAGATAAATATTCTAACCTCTGACGTTTAATAACACAGTTTACATTTAAACCGAAAGTTTGTTTCATAAAGGCAATCTGAAATTACTAAACAGTGTTTACTTTGATCCAAAGTTTTAATTTTGAATATACAACATATACTGTATTGTTTAGTGTACTAGTCGAATTGTCTTCCAATGTTCCATTTTGAGTTGGTTGCATTTGAGTAGAGGTTGAAAAATGCAAGATCAATATAAATATGCATTTCGATAACTTAATTTCTATACTTTGAATGAATAAACTTTGCAAAAAGTTGAACGTATTACGTAATAATTGAACCTGTGATAAAGCTCAATAATTTGGTCGTATAGCTAACTACTGTTGATATAGCTGTATCTAATAACTCCAGCTTTCTGTTTGTTATAATTGTAGATCGTAATCACATCGTTCTGTGTATTTGTTAATATCGTCTATTTCTTATGAACTCTTTCCTATTTTTATATCATTAAATATATTTGATTTATTTAATGATTGCAAGGACTCTTACTCAATGAACTGATTGACATATTATATGTACAGTTATTGTTTTTCTCTCATAGTCATTTCACTTTTGTACTGATAGTCGATATTACATTAAATAACATTTTGTTATTGTGCAATAATTTGTACTTTAATTCTTGAGTATTTCTTTACTTATTTTGACATCATAGTTTCTTATTAAATTCTCTTTTTCTTGTAATTTATTTAGGTATATCCGTTTGAAATATTCTTAGGTGCAAATGGACGAATATGGTTAACAGCTGGTTCTGCTAGAGAAATAATGATATTAGCCAATGCAATAGCCATTGCTGAACATATATCAACTAGTGAATGTTGTCAATTAGCTAAAGAACTTTGTTAAGTATTTTTTTTAACATTTTGATAAAACGTTTTATTTTCTTTAAATGAAATTTGAAAATTGTACATATTTATTGATATTGTACATTTGTAAGTCTATTTTGTATCTAATAGATTGAAGTTTACTTTGTTTTAAAAATTTGTTCATTGAGAAATAATATGTGAAAGTAAAATCGTTTGAAATTATAATTTGTTTTATTGGTTGAAATAGAATGTTTCTCGGATAAGTTTTTCTGACGATCGGTTCAATTTCATCATTACTAAAATTAGGTATAAAAAGCTACTGTTAGACTTAAGGACAACCATACTATTTTATTAGTAAATGCAGATAAACCATATTACCATCATGAGCAAAGATAGATAGTGGCTAGCAGTGGAATCAAGGATGCACGTTTCGTCCTATTTGCGACTCGTCACCTGCATCACAGAATAGATGTCCACTCTGAGACTCGAACCCAGTACCGTTGGCTTCAAATGCCATCGAGTTATCCACTTACCTACTGAGTCCTGATAGCCACCTACTTGTGCAATGGGTGAAGTTTAAATTTACTTAGTATTGCTTGGTTGTATCTTCCCATTGTTATTTAGGACTGCAACTAATCAGTCTCTTATTGGCATATGTGCATCCTGTACGGACTGCCTCGATATTGCCTGAAGTCACAAGCTTCCTGAGCAAAGATGGAATAGTGGCTAGCAGTGGAATCCAGAACCATCAGTTTTTATTGAGAGCAAATATTTAGACCCTACTCATGATCCTTTACAGTCTTGTGTGTGTGGGCGAACTGTTGAATGCAGAAAAATCACAGCGAGTTGATCTAATCAAAGTCAGGTCGATGTTAAGGATTTTCGTAATGAGCTGAAGCATGAACTTAATTACGTATTTAGTGCGTTTCTGTTCAGTGTAAGCATAGTGGGATCTACAGTAAGAACGGCAGTTTTTATTTTTACAAAAAAATATTAAATCCAATATCGGTGTCTTGATTTTCGGAACATTCAAAACAAAGAACACGTTGACCTTAATGTATATGGAAGATTTCTATGAAATTCAGCATAGGACAGCGTGATGAATAAATGATATCGATAACTCAAGTAACGGTTGTTGAGGAAAATGTGATGCTCAGTTTTCATGTAGAATTCGTACTGACTTTGTCTCAGGTATGACTACAGCTAACGATACTACTTATTCGTTCGTTTAAGATAAGTGGTATTAGAAGAATCCTAGTCACGAAAAGAAAGTAAGAATTATTCCTAAGTCGTAGGCCAGTGTGGAAGAATAATATTGAGAGACCATAGAGTTGTAGTCTTTATTGTTATTTTCTGATTATTATTTTCATTGATTAATTTCGGTAAATCGTCATTAAAGTATATCACTTCCCATCATTATCAACTTCGACTATCGAATCACCTGTTTACACGGAAACAAAAGAAGGGTCATTAAGACATTTCAGTAAATAAAGTGGTGAACTGTTAAAGCTTTTGATGTGCATGCGTCCACAGGGTGTATTCTTGCCGAACCAATTTATTCAACCTTACGGATGATCTTTAAATGAGCTTTTGGTGAGATCACATTACTGAAGTTGATTACCTCAGTCTTAAAACTATGATAATAGTACACATGTCGTTTTATGAGGTGAAATCTCCTGTTCTTTACTCATTCACGTCGTATTATTAGTCTAGTGGACAATCTTACATCTATAATCTATCTTCACTTTGGTCTATTATATAATTTTTGATACCTAAAAACACATCCGATCACACTTTAAATGATGTAGCATCTATCTATTTTGTTGTAGATATATGGATTCTAATTAATTATGAATATGAATGCATAGTTTTAATAAATGACAATGCTAGGAAGAAAACTTCCTTCTTTAAATAGTCTTGATTTCCTCTCCAACGTTGGAAAAAGTTTCTTTTGTTATTCAAAAACAATTATTATGATTTTCATTTCTATGCAACAGAAAAGTTGTCTTTTTATTGAAAACTACAAAAGTTATACTACTTAACAATTGATTAGTAACTTTGTACTTTCAAAATTTACCAAAGCCATATCTATTAATATTACTTAAAATTTTATTTTTCGTGTTTCATATATCATTTAAAGACATTGATGAGTTTGACCATGAGGTCGAAATTCATGCAACATAGACAGATATACTTTACTCATTTTGTTTATTGTTGAAATCAAAAGGGAATCTGAAATAAACAGAGAGAACAAATAATTTTCTGACAAATCAGACAGTATGAACTTAGTTTTATTACATTTAGAGACATAATTTAAAGCTGTTAAAAGTTTATAAAGAAGTAATTACAACACAAATACAATAACTAAGTAACTATTATCTTCTAAGTAGTTCATTCAGCTATCTTTTAAAATGATCTATGTTTATATCTATCATTTACTAAGCTACAGTTCATTTATTTTAACTGTTATAATAAAAAAAATACATTTGGTATCTTAGAGTTAAGTTAATCAATCCATTAATTTGACAGAACTATTTTGGCACTCAGCATATATATATAAAGTTAATACAATGTAATCTGGAGTGAATTACAACTTCACATTTGTTTGATTAATTTAATTACTGAATTTAACCATTTATTGTAATTTTATGTTCATTTAAACAGATCTATTTAGTTGTTTTCTATGATAAATAGATCTCAACGTAACCTACCTTATTCACATACAATAAACAGATTATTTAATATTAACAGGTAAAACTGGTTTCAAAAGAAAAGAGAAATGAGCAGTAGGTTGTGAGTAATTTTATTATGTAGCAGATAAACTCTGTTTTTAATTGTATTCATTTACCGTCAGAATTACTGAAATGTTCGTTTCATTTCTAATAATAAAGTAAATAAAATGAGAAAAAATTTTTGTGTGTCTTGTTCCCGAAAATACTATTACTACTCTGAGATTTGTCTTGATAATTTTATTGCCTTCTGCTTATGTGGTATGATAACCAGATCCAATGTATATATGTGCCAGCATCTACGTTACACATGATTGATTGACTTATTCATAATATCATGTGATTTTAATAAGCGTTCCAAGCACACTACCCTATGGGATTCAACATTATATTCGCTACCACAAATTAATTAGGAAATACCTGAAGAAATGAGATGATCTAGATGCCTGCAACTTATTGACTCATCTACTGTTAATAAAAATTTTGGAACTGAGTCGTGATTATGAAGATTTTCAAGTGGAAAACACTTTGCTGCCATAAATTAATCATAAGAAAATTGCATTTAACAGAAAATCACTTTCCTTTAAATATTATCAGAAAGTTGATGATACAATCTTAACTGTGACTTTTTCTTATTACACCATTTGAACAAAATATGCAACCAAGTTAAGGTAAGCCCACAGTAAGGATATTAATTATGTATGCAAAAATACAGTCACTTAGACTAAGAATAACTCAACATTTGACAAATCCATTTTTGTAGTCGCTTGTTTTCACTTTTTTTTCCATACCTAAACTATGATTCTATATGGTGATAATCTCAAAGTTTTTTACAAAGATGCCCACTCGTTCGTTAGTTTCTGTCCACATCATTATCAGCTATTATTGACTGAATGTTCTAAATGTTTGTGAAATTCAATGCTGTAAGTTAACCTCAAAAAGCATGTATAGTCTGTTAAGTCAAATTTCACAAGTATGTAGTAAAAAGAAACAATTGACTTTAAAGTATCCTTACCTATATTAAACAATTAAATGTTATTATTTTCTTCCATTAAATGGTACTGTAAGTATTGAATTACCAGGATGCCAAAAAAACTTACTTACTTACGCCTGTTACCCCTCGTCGAGGAGCATAGGCCGCTCACCAGCATTCTCCATCCAACTCTGTCCTGAGCCTTCCTTTCCAGTTGCTATTCATCCTTTTCATATGCAAGAAAAGAGTGCATTTTAATGGTTGAATATATATGAATTCAATGAATAATATCAACTTAAAATATGAAATTATATCACTAATCTAATAAACGTTCAACGAATATTCAATATGTGTTAAATACATGAAGGCTATAATGGTCAGAACTAATGACGAAAAATTATCTCCATCTTATGACCAAATAGTTATATAATGTTTGAATTATTTAAATTGATAAATAATATGTAGATTTCTAAGGCCTAAATTAAAAATAGATTTTCCGAACTCCCAATGAGTGGTTGTGATTTCTAAAATTACCAGAATGGGAATTTGCGGAGATTGTAATAGTTTTAACAGTTGAGTCCATGAGTCGATCCAAGCTAGATCACCACTGAAAACCTGAAAGACCGTTTCTTCCAAGTATGAGATTTCTCAGCAGTGCGCATCTACAAACCCGCACGTGGAACTCAAACCCATGACCTTCAATCTGGCGCGCGAACGCTTAGCTTCTAGACCACTGAGCCGGCATCCAGCGGTGTTAATGTCCAACTTCAATCGTTTCCTGATCTTGCTTAACCCTTCATCCATTGTCTGAGGTGGACAACTTTCTCCACGCGACATAGATTGAACTCCACTAGTCACAGGATCATGGATGCACACTGCCGAGAAGTCGTATACTGGGACGGAAAGGTTATCCAGTGCTTCCAGGTTTCCAATGGTGATCTAGTTTAGATTAACTCAACTATTAAAATTTGTAAAATTAACATCTATCTCTGGAATAACACTGAATTTGGATCGCAGTATGTTGATTATTGACCAAAACTAATACAAATCGACAGCTCCAATTCACTTACTGAATGTTATCACACTTGACAGGAGATATGAATATCCTAGGTCTTATCAATCTGAGGTCGTGAGTATGAAATTTTAAGAAGTCGCAAATTTGATGGGAATAGCTATTCAGTGTTCCTTGCTTTTTAATATTTCTCCAACCAATGATAGTGCATGCTGGAAATTAGTCTCACCTTACATTTAAGTAGGTTACACTTTCTGAATGAAATCGATAAGTACGGTATATTGTTAGTTTACGGTACATATAATTATATCTATGTCAACAAATCAACTCAAAAAAACAATTGGTTTCATTGGTTTAAGAGTAAAATGATAGGTCATTAGTCTGATTCAATTTAATGCTGATGTTTTCAAATCTGAACTGCACCAAAACAAAATTTTAATCATTAATCAACATAAATAAATGTGTAAACTAGCTCATTTATAAACATGTAAACATATTCTTTTTAT